ATCGCCAACCTCAATTTTCTCGCAAAACGAAGACAACGCGACAACGATATCCGATGAACTATCCAAAAGTCTATCGATATTCTAATGTTTTGAATAAACTTAGCCTTTCGATCCACAACTATCGTGTTTGAATATGCCATTCTCTCTAATACATTCTCCACAGTGTATAATACAATCTTGAGCAAATTCGAGAAGGTCGACCAAGTTTCGTGGGTCGCTGCGGAGTTTATCGTTTTTAACTTCTTTGCTGTCGTACCTAGCCCAATCCTTGTGGAGTACACATTTGTCATTTTTTACGCATGAGTGAATATCATGATCAATTAAAGGTCGCTTATGACGGTCAGCGCCTCTCCCCTGAACGCAAGTGTCAAGCATTGATTCAACTCCAGCGAACGACTTGCAAACGTCAACAATTTTACGATCGCTAACTTTTTTCTTCAAAGCTATTATTTCCAACATCAGAACTCGTTTCTCTTCTTCTGATACACTAAACGTTTTTTTTAAGCGGCTTGTACAGGCTTTGGTGTCCACCAATTCTGTTTTCAAATCTGCAAGTTGCGTTTGGATATGAATAATCATCCATTGCGAAATTTGAAATTCTTTGGAGAGTCTGTCGATTGACATACAAACTTCCTCCACCACTGTTTTGAACAGCTCACCATCCCCACGGAGACGGTCAACACATTTCTTCATCGACGCTACAACACTCTCTATGTTGAAACTATAGCAACCGCTCGATACCCGCTGTGCCCGAACGTATTCGTATGTGGAGCTATCACACCTCCATATGAGTCATTCTTACGATTGACTAACAATACCAACATTCGCCAACGAACTGTGGATGCAATGCACAACACACGAAAGGAAAGAGATAGATAAAGAAAGGTCTGGCGTGCACACGCGCGCGCGCGCGAGAGAGAGAGAGAGGAGAAACTAGCATAAGAGAGAGAGAGAGAGAGAGAGAGAGAGAGAGAGAGAGAGAGAGAGAGAGAGAGAGAGAGAGAGAGAGAGAGAGAGAGAGAGAGAGAGANAGAGAGAGAGAGAGAGAGAGAGAGAGAGAGAGAGAGAGAGAGAGAGAGAGAGAGAGAGAGAGAGAGAGAGAGAGAGAGAGAGAGAGAGAAGAACATACCGAAGTACCACATAACCTTGAACTACTCTCTCTCTCTCTCTCACTCTCTCTCTCTTTCAGTATGTTCCTCTCTCTCTCTCTCATTTGATCTATCTATCTATCTATCTATCTACCTATTTATCTATTCGTTTATCTATTCATCTAGGTATTCATCCATCTAGGTATTCATCCATCTATCTATTCATCAATCTAAGAAAAACAAGAAAAAAAAAACATCATCTCGATGAGTCTTCATTTTACTGTATGTTAATGTGAATCAAGTTAGCCAGCCCTGAATTCGCCTTAGAAAACCTCCCCCTTGACCCATTGGAATGGATGATGGACACACGATATAATCCAAGACAACCAAAACCTAAGAAACTTTTTGACCTCACGGTGAAAGCGATATATAAAATGATAAGAACTAAGCAGTGTCTCAAAGATACAGTAATCGATAGATGGCAGAGGCACCTCAACGTAGAAAGACATCTTCTCACCCCGATTCGTTGGTTTATAGATACAAATTGCAGACCCGCAAAAATCACGGCCTTACAGTGGCAGATCGTGCATCGGTGTCTCCCTACCAACAACTAGCTCATCGATCATTCGCGTTTAGAGCAACAAGGTCGTGCGCTCCCCTGGTGCTCCAGCTGCCTCATGGGTTTTCCTGCCAGAAAGAGGGCACAGACAATAGACCACATCTTCATGCAATGCCCATCAACAGTTTTGACTTGGAGATGGTGGGATAGGGTGTGGCAACAAATGGTTTTAGGCCATCCATGGCCGTGGGATTGGCGACCATCCTCATGGGTTATTACCCACCCTTTCAGGAGAATACCTTTGGGACAAACATGTTTCATCTTTCACGAAGAACGATTTTGTGGATCCTGTGGTGGCAACGCTGTGACGAACCATTTTCCGTACCGCGCGACTTTTTGCACAATGACGATGAGGGGTCTTGAGATGGGAAGGCTGGGCAAGTTACGGGAGGTGGGATCGGTGGAAAAATTGTGACGGTGCCCTCGCTTCTTTCTTTTTCTTTGCTTAGCTCCTTCCCCTTCGGCGGTGGTGGGACAGGCCCGAGATAGACGGTTGAGTGTGCGCGCCCCGTTGGGCGCGATTAATAACGGTTGGCGATGGTTCGTTCTTGCTCTGGTGGGAGTAAAAGGAGGGAACGGAGATTTTTTTTTGGCGCGATGATTGTGCGGGAGCTTTCCGGTGTTCTTTTTAAATTTTCCTAAGAACGAGTCTCTAAGGACTCTCAGAATTCTGATTTCTTTTTGCTTTTCGTCTGTTTCGTCAGAATTTTTCTGTTGAAGTTTTGAGTTCAGATAGGAGTTTATGACTTTTTGAAATTCTTGCCGAAGCGGCGACCCTTTCTTGCGCGCATTCTTCTGCGGCGGGAACGAAGTTCTTACTAAGAGGCGCCCTTAATCTTGCATACAACTGTAATCGTTGGGTGGACGTCATTGTAACTGTATCTTCTTTCTTGTTCCCTCGTCTTCTTCCCGCCCTTTGTCCCTTCTTTTTGCTGCATCTGATTGGCCTGAGCGCTGCATGCCTGGATCGATGTGTGGCAGCGTGGAGAGTGGCTACGTCCCCCACACCGCGATCTGCCCATGCCAAGCGTAGGCACTTCCTCTCTCTGCTCCTCTTTCCAATCCTTGCAATCTCGCATCTTCGCGCACGTATGCATGCTACAAATTTCGTCGGCGCAATTAGATGCCTCTCTTAAAAATTTTGGAAGCTCGAGGTTAGCGTGATCAGTGAGGGTCAAATAATGAGCGAAGTAAGAGGTGACGAGGCAGTTGGGCGACCCGACGAGCTGGTGCCAAGTGCGCAGGGTTGACGTGTAGGCCGCGACGGACTGTGGCGCACGGGCGAACCTGACGGGCGCATCCGGGGTGACAACGTCGTTGGTAAGGTGCGAGACGACGGACAATCACGGACTGTCCGCATCGGAGAGAGAGAGAGAGGAAATGGGCGGATGTCGGATTGCAATGTTCTTTGTCTTTTCTAAGTCCTTGTGTATAAAATTTTGGCTCTGGGCGAGACGCCCTTGTTTTGCATTTTGACATTTCTTTCGGCTTGGTGTGATGTGTTCTCCCTCTTTCACTTTTTGCATTCGCTTGACGAGATGGGTCCGATTTGTAATGCTGGGATAACCGATGTTTTGCATGTAACTCTAAGTCATCCCGTGCTCGCAGCGCCGGCCTATTCTCACTGAGATGATTGGTAGGTGAAAGGAATAGATACTGTTATGATGCTTTGATGTATGTCTGGGTACGCAACTGCTTTCTGCTCGAACAAAGAGTTGTTTGAAATGTCGTTGCATGAACCCCCTTCTGCATAAGTGATTGGCTGATAGATCGATTTACAACGGACTAACCCGCGAGCCCCCATGTAAGTACGATCTGACGAATACGGCTTACACGATCACTCACGAGGCCGGCTCGCAACCACAAACGGACTTAGCCCGACGGATCTCAACAGGAATGATGGAATCCCTATCTGAGATACGGTTCAGGGGAAACGGGGATTGCTGAGTGGAAATGCCTGGTGGAATTAGCTGCAAGAACAGAGCCGGTGCGGATTTCTCCTTGGCTGCTTGCGCAGATCAAAATCGGGTCTGCCAACCCTCACACATGCATGTGTTAGACAACGGCTGTCCGCGGACGCGCCATCTACACGTGTGCCCGCACAAGCTAGCCACAATCACGCGTAGGAAGATGTGTATGCAAGAATTCGGTTGAACGAGATATGGCGATAGACTCTCCCTTCTGGATCACCGATCGTGAAAGCCTGAGGAACCCAGAATACTGAGCATATTGGGAAAGTGAACAGATCCGACGGCAGCGAACCCGACAACAGCGCCACCTACGGAACTCGGGAAATCTCGAGTATCCCTGCCGAACCGAAAACGAGCGACTGTGCAGGGGCGATTTCCAGCTGGCAATCAACCGAGACTCGCGGATCCCCGATTATCCCGACAGTCAGAACCAGCAATACCTTACCACTAACTTCCCTCCCCACTATACCGTCCTCCCCTACCATCAGGTACTCGTGGTCTCCTGGGATTCCATAGCCAGGTTCTGGCCCCATCCGCCGTGCTCAGAGTGTCGGCAGCCCGACGAGCTTCAGCAAGCGAGGGTCACGCAATGAGCCTATCCTAGGACTGAGCGATGAGAGTCCGATTCATCTTCCTCAGACCCCGAGACGTGCGGCGACAAGCAGCGGTACGAGCACTCCCACAGAGACACCCGTAGCACCCCACCCCGGCTCAGGCAGCACGGTCGGTCATCGCCTCAACTCTGAGCAGAAGACACTTGCACTCCTGCCCCTGAAACTTGCCATCAGAGATCTCAGTTCCGACCTGGGACTCCACCCCAAATTCCCAAAAATCCTTGGCACACACCTTTTCGCACTTCCAAGCCACCATCCCACTCCGATCAGGAAGTCACGCTGGGCGTGAGGTTGGGCGTCACAACGCTGCGTTCTCACTTTAGACAAGGTACGGATTGAGGGTGAGGAGAGGTTGGAGCACCTCAAAACACAATTCCAATTGGAGCTCTTGCATAGATGGAAGATCACTAAACAATCTCTCGACAACTTCCACAGATCCAAGGACATTCAAGAACGCGTATTACAATTCTCTAGGGAGTGGCTGGGTGGGGATCGGGAGGGGTGGGTAGCGGAGGTCTGTTTGTGAGGGGACTGGGATGGGGACGTTGGCAGGGAAGACCAGGATGCAGAGTTTCAAAGAATGGTTGTCGATAGACTCGTGCACCCCTCTGAGACAAGCTGAAGAATTTCCAGACCCTTTCCCTCCGTATCCGGGGTCTCTGGAATTATGCCTGTAATTGTGTGATGATGTTTGGGGTGATTTTTGGGCTCTTTGGTCAGTTCTTGATTATAGTTTTTTTTTCTTGAATTAGCCTGCTACCGTTTGTGTTCTGTTCCCCACCCCCCCCTTTTTTTGTGCTCCATTGTTTTCTTTTGTCACCAACCTTCCCTTTGCTATCAATATGGATACGCGGCGGTCGAAGACAGAGGTGCAAGGCTGGCGTTTAAAAGGAAAGGCAGGGAATGGCAGGATAACCACTGGTGCCCCCCAGTGGCTCCTCCCGGTTCCCTGACCAGGCTCAAGGATGGAAAGGGTGATGGCCGCTTTTATGTATGGGTCGCTGGACCTGTTGCAAATAGATGGTAGCAGTAGAAATCTGGAGCCAGGTTCCCCCCCTGCTCAGTCAATCCCCTGGTTCCAGGGCAATCAATGCTGGCGGGATCCGCCCACAATTTCTTCTGATGTATTCCAATAGTTCCTCCTCTTCGTCCTCTTCGTTTTCTTGCCGCAGTTGGCTCGATTCGTCGGCTATCCCCGCTTCGCTTTCCGGTACGTAATCTGGATCGTCTCGTTCTTCGCTCGATGGCTCTTCTTCTTCCCCCTCTTCGTCTGCTCCCCCTATCTCCTCGTCCTGCGCCGTGTTTTGCCTCGCAATCAGGTCCCAAAATGTGAGATCGGTAACGTCGATCTCCAAGTAGAGTGCTTGGGAGGGATAGAGACAATTGTCCTCGTCAATCTTCGTACACGTGGACCACACAAGGTGCGGCTCGAGCGCTCGAGACAACACGTGGGTGCCAAGCTGCTTGTCACTGCGCGACAAGATATCCAGGGGCAGATCGTCCACCAACTGAGTCAGAAACACCAGCAACTCGTCCGTGATCAAGGTGAGATTACCCTCCTCCACCTTCCCGAATACGATTCCCAGCAGGTCGCCCTGCTCCGCCGTTCTCTAAACTTGGATGATCAGAAGCTCCACGCTGTCCTCTGGGTGCTCTGGTCCTTCTCCGAACGGGGCCGCTTCTGACCAGCGGAACTCTATCTCCAATAGACAGAAAGCGAGCTCGACATAGTCCTCCCACCACGCGTCCCACTTTTCCTCGCTCAATAGCGGCACACTGTTCTCCTTAACACGGTAAGAGAGAGTGGGAGCCCGCGCAGACTGCCAAAGGGTGGGGATGCTGGAGGGGAGGCCGAAGTAGGAGACGCGACAATGACTCATTGGGGCGAAGCTCCGGGAGCACGATAGCTGGTGATCTTCGAGACGAGTGAAGCTGGAGGTCCGTGTCATGCGCCGACACGATGGTGTCCCCTCGCGGAGCCAGGAGATCGGTCTACGCTATCCGCACTTCTCCAGCCCAGGTGTGCAACGTCCGATAGATGTCGGAGTGAATCTCCGGTAGAATCGCTGTGATGTCTCCTGTAAAGACGATGATGACGGAGATATGGCTAATCCCGGGAGGGGATAGCCGTCGAAAGGCCGAGATCTCAGCCAGAACGCTCGTAGTTGCCTCTTCCGTGAATCGGAATTTTGCCGCCGCGTAGATCGCCGACGTACTGAAGAACGCTGCAAACCAGAGGAAATCAGAGCAGAGATGTGGCCGCTGCACCTGCCGTATGACGCTGATTCGGCCTTGCAGAGTAAGAAGCCGCGCGCCGATCACTTGCTCCGTTACAAAGCTCATGGCGATGGTGACGGGGTAATAGAGAGAGCACAGGAAGGAGACAGAGAGATAGGAGAGAGGTAGTCGTCACTTTCCTCCACAGGGGAGGAGGAATCGGATGAGTGCGAAGATGGGGAAGGAGGAAGAGGGCGAAGATAGGATACGTGGCGGATGATCGGCCGAGCCGATCGGCTGCCGGAGACCTCAGGCGCAAGCCGCACGGTGTTCACATCGTTCGGTCCGATTGCGATTACGTGGAATCGCCCGAAGAACCGTGGCGCTAGCTTACCCTGGCGAGCACATTTCCTCACCTGCACGATGTCCCCCAATTTGTACTCGGGCCGTGGTCCCGCGTTTCCATTTCGGGCCTCGTAGCTTCGGACCTGTCGGCCATGGGTCAATTCGGTCATTTTCTGGCGTTTTCGGGCTAGCCTGGGCAGGGACCGTTCCATTAGTTCCAAGTGTCGTTTGGCGTTGTCCTGAGCCGTGGCCCTGGTGGGTTGTCGGTTCAGTGTGGATTCATCCGGTAGGCTTGGTATCGATACACAAGCGGCGTTATTGGTCCTTAATTGGAAGGGGCTTAGCCCCATCGATTCGTGAGGTGTACCGCGATGGACCGCCAATATGTGGTCGACGATACCGAGCCAGGGCCTCGGATTCCGTGCCGCGATATTCCTTCACAATGTTGTCTTTATCACCCTGTTCGCGTTTTCCACTAGCCCATTGGACTGTGACATGTGGGGTGCAGTGTTCCGTATGGGGACGCCATGTATGACTAGATTCCTCAGTACCTCTTCCCTAAATTCAGCCCCGTTGTCGGTCAAGATCTCTTCCGTATTTTGGTGCATCCCGAGAAAACGGTTGACGTATCGCGCAATTTCGGCGGCTTGTCACGTGCGACAAGGGTAGGCCTCGATCCATTTCGAAAAGTGGTCGACAAATACCAATAGGACTGAATACGCGCAACTATTAGGGTCAGGGGGCACCACTATGTCGGTAGTGTCCATGCTGACTAATTGAAATAGCCATTCAACTACTGTTGGCACTATCGATCTTGGCGGCTAAATCGGCGCCTTATCAGCAGCGCAGACTTGACAGTTGGCGACGATATACTTCACATTGTCGCTGATATTGGACCAGTACCACTCATTTTTGTTGATAGCCGACTCTGTAATTCGTACGGTGAAGTGAGCCGCAGTTTCTTCATGTGCCGTTTTAACCCAGTCATACCTCATGAACGGATGCGGTACAACCATCCAAATCCCACTGCCCTCTCTTTTCCGTTTTTCTAATATGGCCTCTATCCATCTGTAATCCTGGGGCCTCTCATTCGCCCTCCTTCGATCTTCCTTGGTGAAATCCTGAAGGGGGTTGCTAACCAGCGTGGCAATCAAGGCGATATCAGTCCATACTTCCTTCCTTCTAAACTTTCGGGTCTTTTCCAACCCTTCTGACGTGGCATCCAAAAAGCGACCCTCGGTTGAAATCTTGTCAGTCCGACACAAGGGTCATAACCACGGTTTACTATCGTATCTGTATTGGATGCACGAGCCATGGGCTCGTCCGACACATTGTCGACAATCTATCCAGTCCGCATACCCTTCCCCGGTAGGACGCATGGAAACCAAGTACACGTGGGAGATAGCTTCGCAAAAATAGCAAAATTTGTCGGGCAGGGAGAGGAGAGACGAAGAGGAAAGGGGAGAGAGAGGGGTAGTAGGGTTACCTCCATCACCCATTGTCGCCTTTTCGCTTCTTGCCACGTGGAAGAACTGCCACTTGTCCGTACTTAGGCTCGTTGGTCAAGTCCGTCTCTTTCCACGGTGTAATTTCATCGCCCTTTGGTACCTTGGCAGGTCGATGCAGACATGTCACTCCGTCCGCGTTGCCATGTCGCTCTGTCTTTCGATGGACGATATCGAAGTCGTATTTTTGTAGTCGCACCGCCCAACGGCCAATCACGCCCGTGTAATTGGTGAGTTTCTTCAACGCCAACAAGGGTTCGTGATCTGTTATGAGGCGAAACTTATGTCCGTAGAGATACAGATGGAAGTGTTGGATTCCCCAGACTACTGCATAGCATTCGCCTTGAGGTGCCGAGTCATTCCTTCGCTCGTCCGGTACCGTGCGTGACGCGTATTCGATGACGTGTTCACGACCATCGTTCCCCTTCTGCGTTAAAATAACAGAGAGAGCTTCCGGTTGCCAGTCCGTGATGAGAATGAACTGTTTCGAGGGGTCCGACCGAATCAAAATAGGGACCGTCGCCAGAGCGTCCTTGAGGGTTGCGAAAGCCTGTTGGCACTCTGCGTCCCAGCTGAGAGGCTGGTCCTTCCTTAGCAGGTTCGTTAGTGGTCGTGCAATCGCGGCGAAACCCTTGATGAAGGGACGATAGTACGACGCCAACCCTAAGAAGGCTCGAACCTGCGTCAGTGACGTGGGAACTGGGGCTTCTCTTACTGCCGCAACCTTTCTTGAGTCCGGTCGCAGACCTCCCCGTGTCACGACATAGCCCAAGAACGAAATTTCCGAAAGGAAAAATTCGCTCTTTTCGAGCGCGATCTTGAACCCAGCGTCTCTCAGCGCTCCCAATGTCCACTTGATGTGTTGCGCATGCCCGTGATAGGTCTCTGAGTAGACAGTACACTATTACGCAGAAGTTGATCATCCCCTGTGTTGGCCTCGTCTTGTTGACAAAGTTCTGGAATGTCATGTTCATAACTCGCTGAAACGTGGCAGGCGCGTTGCAAATTCCCATCGGACATCGAACCCACTGCCACGTGCCTTCAAACAACACGAAGGCCGTCTTTCGCCGATCTTCCTCCTTGACCAGAATGTGATGGAAGTCATGCCGAATGTCAAACTTGCTAAAATAATTAGCGCAGACAATCGCATCCAACAAATCATCAATTCGGGGAAGGGGATACACATCTTTAATCGTGATTTCATTCAACTTGCAGTAATCGATGCATATGCGGATTGATCCGTTTTTCTTTGGCACTAGTACGACGGGAAATGACCATGGTCCCGGGCGGGTTCAATCCATCCGCAGGCTTCGAATTCTCGAATTCGTTCGAGAACCTTTTTGCGTTCTATCAGGGAGTATCGGTACGGCTTACAATGGATCGGGGAGTGATTCCTCGACTGTATTTCGTGTTGAATAACTAACGATAGGCCAATGTCAGTGTCTGTCACGCTAATCGCTCCCCGATATTCCGTCAAAATGTCTGCAATCAATCGATGAATTTCATCGGGTACGTACTGTAGCACGTGTAACTCGAAAAGTTGGTCCCAGATCCGTACATCTATCTGTTTTGTGCGTGCAGGTTTCGCCACATCGGGCTGGGGTGCAGAAATGAAGGAGTGATCTGATCGCCAAGAGAACACTGTGGCCATCATCTGGGCGTCTTCTTTCCGAATGGCCATGTATCCTTCTGGGGTAATTCCGTCACAAACATCCTGCCATGGTAGAGTCCTAGTCGCGATCTTTACTCCGAATTCGTTCGAGTCAGCTTCAAGGCGCCCAGGGGGTTCCAAAGAACTTGCTTCCGCCCCCAAGCGCAACAGTCGCACTTCTTTTGCGGGTGTCAAGAGGGACCTTGGTAGATCCGTTATGTCGCAGTAATGCTTTTTGTCACTCTACCGGGCGAGGAGCGGGGTGATTCCTTCGTACAGTGTTTGAGGGGGTTCCAAAGAATCGACCATCCTCGAAATCTGCACGGGGGGTTCACCCAAGATCATCGCCTTTGAGCGTTCCTACTGGTCAGATGCATCGTTCTTGCTATCGTTCTGGGTGGCGGGTAGTAAACACGCTGTCGTGCTAGCTTCGAGATTTCCGGATGGTCCTCATCACTGCTGTCCGCATCATTCGTCGATGACTTTCCATCTGCGGATTCATCCCAGGAGATCATGCGGAACCCGGGGGACTGCGTTGATGGTGGTACGAAGGGTAATCCTCATAGGCACAACATAGGGCTTTCCTCATGTATTTCGGAGGAAGGTCGATCGTCGTTCGAAATCCAGGTTTGCTCGTAACGCCACAAGAGCAGGAAGTCCGAAAAGAACGTCATAGGTATTCACATCTAACACGACAACATCTCCCAGTGCATGCACCTTTCCTAATCGAAAAGCGACATTGGTCATTCTTCCCACTGTTTTAATCTTTTCTTCGTTGGCCGAAACGAGCTGATCTTTCTCGGAAAGCATGATCAGATCGTTTTTCCTACCTGCCCTTTCGACCACTCTTAGTGAAATAGCCAACACAGCTGCTCCCGAATCTATAATTGCGTTGTAAGGAATTCCCCAAATTTCAATATCACATTCTGCGGATTTCCACGGGATGGGTTTAATCCGGAGGAAATGATCGTCTTTCTGAACTAACCCTACCCGAATTGGATCCGACGTGCCAACCGGGTTTTTCTCGGGCGCGGGGTTTTTAGATTTTACGTTCGGTATTCGGACGAGGGCGAATCGTTTTCGGTTCGCCTTGCAGTGTTGTAGCATTCGCTCATTAGCTTGTTCTGAGATCAAAAACAAATAACCGATCGGAAGCAGAATCCGATGGTCCAAGGCTCGAACGATGTTAAGCACATCGATTTCCCTGGTGACGAAGGTGGGTCCTCCCGACTCCATCTCACCTATAGAAGGTCGCCAATCCGCCACCTCTTTCTGTTCTGGCGCTGGTCGGATCGTTCCGATCATCCCAAGCCCGGGGTAACCAAGTGGTACGTACTGATCTAACGGGATTAGCTCGGCGGCCTCTTCCGTGGTGGCTGAGGCACTTCCCCCACCCTTTACTTCTTCCATTAAAGCTTCGACTCGTCCTGGTCCGTTAGCGATGGGGGCCGCAGCCATCGGCGCGACCCCGATCCGCTGTTGCGGGGGTCGGTGGGGGCAATCACGGGCTAGATGGCATTGTTGATGACAGGCATAACAAACATTCAAATTGCTCGTGGCTCCTCCGAGGGAAGGTGTCGGGGCTAATCCTTGCAGCATCGGAGGGGCGCGCACCGCAATGGGCCGCATGTTCCTCATCATGGCTTCTAGCCGAGCATTGTGCCCTCGCTGCTCCTTTTTGCTTTCCTAGATCGGACTAATCAATGTTTTGGTCAGCTCGAGTATGGCAGTTGATTTATTCGATCGTACGGGAGTCTCGATTGGGGGCAGGGGTGGCGTTCTTAC